GAAGAGTTAAAGAAAATAATACACGTCCACTGCAACAAAGAAATGAGTAAATTTCTCATGTCTCTTACACCTAATGAAGATACGATTTATTCGCTCTGGAAAGCGACTAAAAGATTTAAAAAACCGACACCGATACCGACAATAAGAAAACCAGATGGCTCCTACGCAAAAACCTCAACTGAACAAGCTGTGACATTCGCGGAACACCTGCACCAAACCTTCCAACTACATAATTTACCACATGAAGACACAACAATAGATAATCCGACTGAAAACTCGAACCACAACTTCAGGATACGTAATATTTCAAAAAGGAGATTAAACAACTCATTAAAAGAATCAAAACGAACAAAACTCCGGGGTACTATTTAATAAACGGCAAAATAATTAAAGAACTTTGAGATAAAGCAATAAGAATGATCACAATAATATTCAATGCCGTACTTAGATTGCAATATTTCGTAAGTACGTGGAAACTGGTTCAGATTACAATGATATCAACACCAAACAAAAGTGTACAGGAACCTTCTTCATGTAGACCAATACCCTTAATATTATCCAACATTCTTGAAAAAACAGTTCTTGTCAGAATAAATGAAATAATTGTAAAGAAACAATTTATTGAGGATCTTTAGTTAGCGAATAAAGATTGACTCAATCGACTGCAGAGAAAAAAAACGTTTATTGATAGAAATGAAATAAAAAAACGGAGGCGAAAACCCGAGTGAAAAACAGTTACTCAATTAGGGGTTGTCGCACGACTACTTAAAATGCGGAAAAACATTTGTTATATACTCGGCATCGCCCCACAGTCAGCGGACCCATGGCTTTTATGGCCCGGCCTGGGCCATACGTTAAGCAGAGAAACTCGCAGTAGGAAAAGTAAAAATTCAAAATATAATCTATTCTCAATACAATTAAAGCCGGACCATCAGTTCGGTTTTAGAGACAAACATGCTAGAACAGAACAAATCCACAGAATAGTAGAAAAAATAATGACTTCCTGTGAAAACAAAAAATAGTGCGCAGCCTTATTCTTAAATTTCGAAAAAGCGTTTGATAAAGTCTGGCACGACGGACTACTAAAAATCATAATGAAAAATCTACTAGATGCACTATACAAACTATATCCTACCTCACTGATAGAACGTTTTGCTGTTGAGGTTTTCAACTGTAGATCACAGTTTTCGGCAAAATAGATCTTTATTTAGACAAAACGAAATATACACGTGACGACCATGAAGGACCGAGACGCACTCTCTTAATTACATCGAGTATGGTGATTTTTCACACAAGTCCCAACAGTGATTTCATGTACTCAAATTTCGGTTTGCACAGTGCCTTCGTCAAAATATCAGCAGCCTGATCATCACACTGAATATACATTACATTAATTGAACCCTTCTGATACAGATCTGACACAAAATGATATTTCACGTCAATATGCTTGGTACGTCTATAAAATTCCGGATTTTTTACAAGTTTTGTTAGGTTTCATTCAGCAAAGGTTTATGGCACGATCGCACCTACAGGCTGTTTTTGAGATTAGGATTTAATTTACTATTTTATGCTTTAACCGTTTGACTGCTAAGCAATTCTTGCAAGAACGCACGAAAACTGCGGGACATATTTTGACTTGATGTTGTCAAATAAAACACTCTCATTTAGACAAATATCAATCAATTTTAATAATTCTTTTTGTATTATAAAGAAACAATATTAATTGTGATTGTGAGTAAGAAAAAATAAACATTAAATAAAAAAACAACAAAATAAACAAACGGAGCAACAAAGAAACACTGAAACACGCAGCGCAAAAGCGCTGCGCCGCGGTTTTCAAGACAATTGAATGCAGCGCTTTTGCGCCGCGTAGCAGTCAAACGGTTAACGTCCATCCTAGCGAAGGCCGGTAGAATCACTTAATTAGAGTTTTTAGCCGCTTGTGCCTTTCGCGCTCAATAGCTTAAGAACATGCCATAAACCACGGGTTTTCCGAAGGGTACAATTGTCTGTAACGGTCCGCTGGCCGATGAGTCACCCGGAGGAATTTCCCGAATTATTATAAACATTTGGTTACCCCTTGGGATCTTCTCCCACTCCACCAGGGTAAAGCGCGCTAAGGGCGCACTGGAAGGAGTTGGCGAGAAAATTAGGCACGTTGATTGGCGATGAATACTAGAAAATATTCACCAATCAGCGTATTTTTCAAGAACCACCGCTCTCGAGGGCGAAGACGAGCTCTCGAGAAGTGAGAATCATTACAACCATCAGAGCAAAAACATCTATCAGTCAAACTAGTCACTTAGTTTTTACATACAATAAAAATTACACAAAGTTAGAAAGGCAACACGCATTTGTCCATTTTTAATCAGTCGGCTCAGTGCAACAGCACACACGGGCTACATTAATATAAATCATACAAGTTTTATCGCGCTCACATTATCTATGTATAAAATGTTTTGTTCGGTCTCAATACCAATTTCCTTCAACAGCCGTGTCAATCATACAGTTTCCTTAGCCGCTGCACTTACGTACTCCGCCTCAGTAGTTGATTGCGTTACGCACTGCTGTCTTTTACTTTGCCACATCACTGCCGTGTTACCAAATCTGCACAGCATAACACTCGTTGATTTTCGCGTAATATTGTCGCCCGCATAGTCTGCATCACTGAAACTTTCAAGCTCACCAGTTTTTCTATACAACAGACCTACATCTTCTGTACCCTTGACATACTGCATAATGCGTTTCACTAGGCGCCAATGAGATTCAGTTGGATTCTCCAGAGCCCTCGATGCCACATTGAGCGCAAACGCAATATCGGGTCTTGTGACTACTTGAGGATACATCAGCCTCCATATGGAGTACAAAAATCTTCATTGGTTGAGTCATCTGCTTCCCATCTCGTTTCCGTAAGTGTAGAGTCCGGTTTCGCAGCTAGCATCTTGTATCGTTCCAATATTTGTCGGATATATTTTGCTTGGTTTATAAAAACTGAGCCATATTGTAGACGGGGTATCTCGATCCCCAGAAAACTTTTGACGTCCGTAGTTGTTGTCACTTTAAATCTAGCCTTCAGACGTCGTATCAATTCATCCACATCGCCTGCGTACGACGATGTCTTTAGTCCATCATCCACCCACAGGGCTAATAACAGCCTTCTTCTCTTTTGCATGAGGCAGTACAGACACGGGTTTGCGCTGCTCTCCCTTAAACCGCAATCAAGCAAGAAATTTCTGAAACGTTCGGCCCAGCACCCTAGAGCTTGCTTTAAACCATAGAGACTCTTCCAAGAGTCTGCATACTCTTTCCGTGCCGTCCTCGAAACCTTTGGGTTGATTCGTATAAATTTTCTCGTGGAGAGTTCTATATAAAAATTCTGTCCTTATATCAAACTGGTTCACGAGCTGCAATACCGAATATGACTCTCAAAGTTTTCATGCGTACCACTGAACTAAGCGTTTTTGTGTAGTCGGTCCCCTTCTTCAGCGAGCAACCGTTAATTGCCAATCTTGCTTTATATCGATCTTCTGTGTTGTCTTCCATCGATTATTGATAAGTTTCCTGTCTTTTGGCTTTTCGACTAGAACCTATGTGTCGTTTTCTTCCAATGACTGCATTTCTTCTTTCGTAGTTTATTTCCAATTTTGAGCTTCGCACCAGGTTGTTGCTTGTTCGTAGCTCACAGGTACAGATTCAGCGAAAACTGCTACTGGACTTCCATAGAAATCTGGCTGCCTTAGCTTCGTTCTACCTCCAAGTTGTCTTCCGTCGCCTACCTCCCTTGGTTCACCTGCTTCCCTAGTTCCCTTCTTTCTTCATTCGATGTTCCCCTTGTTTCGACGATTATCGAAGCGGTAGAGAACCGTTCTTTCTTAAACAGAACGTCCCGACCTACAATTACATTGCACAGTTCCGGAACCTACAAGCGATATCCTTGAACGCCATTAAGATAGCCAACCAAGTATCCCTTATAATCCTTTCTATCTAACATTTTTCGCTTTTCTTTAGGTATGTGCACGAAACATTCAGTACCGAAGGCTTATAAATAATCAACGCTTGGCCTTTTACCGAACCATAGTTCATACGGTGTTTTACCAATCACCTTTGTCGGGCCTGTTCTACTTAAAACATAGACAGCATAATTCATAGATTCTGCCCACAAGTGTTGAGGCAAATGCAATTTCGAATACAACATTGACCGCGCCAATTGTACGATTCTCGCGTTCAACGCTCCCATTCTGCTCAGGGGTGTACGGAACCGTGACCGTATGTTTTGTACCTAACTTTCTGAGAAAGTGTTGTACATCTGTACCATTATCTGTACGCAGTTCTTTTATATTTTCCCCAAATCGCGTTTAGACTTCCTTGCAAAAAAGTTCGAGCTTATCTGTAACTTTTGATTTTTCGCAGATAAAGTAAATTGTACGATAATCGTACGTAGTATCTCCGTTTTCCAAGAGACTGTACATTCATCGGTCCACACACATCCGAATATACCAACTCTCTAACTTGTACCACGATCCTTTCTCTCGCCGAAACTTGACCTGTGATGTTTACCGTACGCACATCCGTCGCAAAACTCATCGTCTACAGTTACATCGATTCCCCTCTCTTTCAAGAAAGCCTGAACGTGTCGTTTATTTTGGTGGCCTAATCGTTCATGCCACAATTGCAACGTATCCATCTGATTCGCAACACACGTTACTTTCGGAGATAAAACTCGCAAGACCGTACTGTACAATCGACCTGCCTCTGAACCAATTGCAGCTACTTTACCGTTTCGTAGAAATTCGCACCGGCGTCCTTTGTCGCTTATTACAAAATCTGCACCCTTTTTTGCGGCAATATTACGGAAAACAAGTTTTGCTTCATGTCCGGCACAAATAACACATCGTACAACCTACATTTCAATCGGAATGTCACCCTGCCCGAGCGCCAACAGTTCTTTGTGTGATTTTTGTAGGCACTGAAAACTGTCGAAATTCGAAAAACTAGTCACGTCATCTGGTCATGTGATCGGAAGTACCAGAGTCAATCAACCAGCAGTTTTCATTTTTCCTTTGATCGGTGCCACCTACGAATGCCTGTCGATCGCACGGTCCATCGTAATCTCTTCTCTGCTCTCGCTTCTTCGGACAATTCTTCTTCAGATGTTCTTTCGATCCGCACGTGAAACAACTCAGTCTCTTTTTCTTCTTCGTGAAGTTGGTATTTTTCGAAGAATCCGGTTGCACTTTCAGATTCGACGTCAAAACCACCGTTGAATCTTCTGGCTTTATTCTTCAGTCATCATCTCGTTGTGTAATTTTGCAATATCCGCTTCGTGGCGTCCGTGGAGTCCCATGCACTGGGAAAATGACTGTAAGCTTGCGAAAGTGTCGATAGTGTTCTGGTTATCAACATGGACGACGGTATTTACCCTCCAAGCGCCTTTATTTTATTTGCTAGCTGTTGCAATTTCGATATATGTTGAGCGATGCTTCCTGCTGGATCCCATTGAAAATCGAAAAACTGTTTCTGCATTAACGACAGCCTTTCATCCGAAAAGAAAACACCCCCAAGATCTGTTAATTCAGATGCAAATGTAATTAATACACACAACCTATATAGGTGCCACTTAAAGAAGCAGCATTTAAACTTCATCCATCCAATATTATACCAACCCGCCGAATGTCTATCGGACAAATTGCAGGTAATTTATAGAGGTCAAAAAACAAAAAGAGTATATCCTGGGTGCACCGCTTAACATGATCACCGCAGATTATTCTTTTGTCAGTGGACCGACCAAAATTTTTTTCTGTCGTATAATATGATTCAAACAGGCTTTTCAAATGGCAACCATGCGACAAATGTGAAACCGTTCTAGGATGCATTTTGGTTACTGCTCCTTCGACATTAGGAAACTAAATATTTGGACGTTAAATTTGCTTTTCTTTTATCATTTTGTGTGACAAGAAAAGTAATCATATTGTACCGAAAACAAGGGAGACATGACAAAAGTAAGCAACATTTGGAACTCGCATAACAACTCATTAGCAGTAACAGAGGTGTTGCGTCTTGTACTTCGAACAAGCAATATGTTCGAGAGTGGTGGCGCTGTGCTGTCGCTGGTTCGATGATGTTGGTTTGATGGATGGTGTGATGTTGGTGAAGATAAATAGTGTCACACGTATTTCAATATTATATTTCAGAATAAATTACTTGGTGATATAATCAATGTCTTAGGGTGGTGTGCGTGTGAATGTTGATCTTTATACAAGTCTTAATAATCTATTCGTTTGAGGGTGTTGTGTCGCTATTTATATGAAAAGTGGATGTGTGGGAGGTGATGGTGTGCGCCAATTAGAGCGTGACTACCCTTCGGACAGTCCTCCAGGACACGCTAGCATACCGCCCATCCTGGAAGTCCCAGTTGGCAGGGTGGTGGTACGTCGCGTTGGCGGGGACATGAGGTCCAAGGGTAGCTCGCTCGTAATGGGACTTGAGCGGTCGGGGCGACGGAGAAGGTTTTGTGGCACGGCACTAGTTATCGGATGGTCAGGAGTGGGCACCAGGAAGACATGTAGCGCGCAGAAACTTTATGCTGCTACTGCCATAAATGCTTCCTGGGCCTCGCTGACGGATTAAAAGATTTAGTTGGCTGAAGGCAAAAAAAGGAAAGGTGTGCATTCAAAATCGTATGAAAGAACGGCCGTGCCATAAACCCAATCCCTAACAAGAGGTTTATAGTTTTTATTAGATTTCCATGAAATCATCAATGTTTTGCGGACTATATCACATAAACAGTAAATTTTACAATGGTATCGTGCGTAATTAAGAGCAGTTTTAATAAGGTAGCATTTAGACTCATTTTCATCAACAAAATCTTATAGATTAATAATATTCTCATTATACTGTAATAAAAAATATGAGAACGTAATTTTTTATTAGCGGATGATTCATCCCATGCGCGTATTCTGCTGCTGTGTATCCTTGTATGCGGATTTAACAAAGGAGAATTTTTTGGAACACGATCAGTACATATTTCACCAGTGATAGGTGATTGTTAAGCACTCGGGTACTAATTTCCGCGTACTTCGAATATTGCACTAGGTGCCGTCTGAAGACTGAATGTATTGCGTTGAGAGTCTGACTGAATCTTTAATATCCCTAATACACTCTGTGGTCTTAAGCTGTCGGCCTTCTTATCGGGTCGTCCCTCCTCCAATTCTTCCGAAATTTGAAGAAGGGACGCGAAGGGAGGTTCCTAAAATTACTAAGTGACCAACCCGGTATCACCCCCTTTCATTGCGCCCGGAGCGCGTCACGTCCTTGGAGCGGGGCTGACGAAGCTGGTCCTTGTTGGATGGAAATTTGACAACAAGGGGGGGAAAACCCGGCCAGGTCAACTCTGACTCTCCGACTCGTTCGGAGGGTCAGGTACCGAGAGACCTCGGTAATTGCGTCGGTTTCGAAGACCCTTTGGGGGTGACTTTATGATACCTTGCCTTACTGACTGAACAATAGCCTATTCTTTAATATTTGAGAAATTCTAGGTGCCGCATGTTAGCTGCAGACCGATCTGCTAATAAAATCGTCCCCTTGCTGTCCTATCAGTGATGATAGGTCCCACATTAAAAATAACGGTTTGCTGAACTAGAAATCACGTATCATAAAATCGTCCCCTTGCTGTCCTATCAGTGATGATAGGTCCCATAAGGTAATAGGTCTATTCTGTACTTCGTCTGTGGTTAAAAACAAAGAAGGTATTTAGATGTTTGGGTTTTACTCGGACATCCAGTGTATTCTAAATATCATGGACAGTCTTGTTAGGTATCGACATGTGTTATTCACGTCTTTGTTTAAAATATAATATTTGTGATTTCTGCTCGTAGCTATTTCACGCCAGCAAATCTTAACACGTTCGCTACTACGATTCTGCTCAAGCATCGTCCTCTATCCGTCGTATTCTTTTGTTTACGTTCCGAATATCTATGTTTTTTTCAGTTTTACATAATATGATGCATGCTTACACTTATGCACACATAATGTGTATTAAAGGATGCATTTTGTATGATGTATTACATGTAGATAATGCCGATCTATCATGAGAATTGTCAAAAAAGTCTCCGTATACTTCATTAGAATTTATTTTGCGTTGCATAATTTTAACAGCGAATTTTATTATTTATTTAGTAAATAAATAATATTTACGTTATGTTATTTAAGAACGTAACATTTAGTGTTAGTACAAAGAAAAATAATTTGCGTTCATTTGCTAATAATTAAACAAATAAATATAAATATAAACAGATATCTTCCATTATAGAAATAATATTTTGAGTAATGTATTTTCTACTTGCTTATAAACCAGAAACTATCTTGTATTTGCCTTTGGAGCCTTGTTTGTAGACATTTTGCTGAGTTCTTATACTGTTCACCTCGCTTCTGTTACATTATTCTTTTTCCTTAGCTTAATTGTTAACAAATGAATGCAAATTATTCTTTTTTGTACCCATAGTAAGTTTCTAAATAAAGTAACGTGAGTATTGTTTATTTACTACCTCCTGTGTTGAAATTATACAACGCTAAATAAATTCTAATGAGGTGTTTTTTGACAGACAATCACGTACATACACTACCGGCCAAAAGTTTCGAATCACCTGCTAATTTACGGTAAAATTGAATCCGCGGCTAATTTTTTATTGATTTGAAATTGATGTTGCGGAGATCGATAGTATTTTATCTTATTTCGATTGATTTGAACGAGGAAAAATTGGTTACAATATTCTTAAAATTGCTAACTTTATTCTGGAAATTTTTGTATAACTTGTAATGCACAGTGATTCCAAACATTTTGCCGGTAGTGTATGTGACGCTGGCAGCGAACGTGTTAATACATAATTCGTAAATGTTTATCAGTAAAGTGAAACATATACTTATATCGTGAAACTGAAAACATGTACATATGTATATAGAGGGTGCAGAAAATAAAAATTATTTTTGCTATATTTTAAAGTGAATCTTTCGACATTTTTATATTAACACTCGAACTACTATCCGGATCAAAATGATCCATTAGCAATTTTCCAGAAAAGGTGAATGTTCCATACTGGTAAGTATTATCGTTAGCAACTTTCCGACTTTATTTTTTGCATATATACTTCAATATGTATCGACACGAATCTAATTTTTTAATCACGTCTTAATTACTTAAAAATTCACTTTCAGAAAATCGCTAATAGGTCATTTCGACACGGCCAGTAGTTCTAGCGTTAAATAATTTCACTGTACTGAGAATATCATTTATTCACGAAAGTGATAAAATACATATTGAAACTAATGTCTCTTCTATCATCCATGTGTCCTCGTGCTCCGAGTGCAAATACGTAAAGAGGATTTCCGGTTATACGAGGTTCGAAACTGTTGCGGTTTACTCCTCGCGGCTCAGTTACGCCGCGACAAAGTAAACGTGCCAGGTGAATAAAAACCAGCTGGGCACGGTACACTCCAGACTAACGATCCGTGAAATCATGTATTTGCGAAACGATTCCATACGAACTTCTGCAAAAGGGAACAATATGGAACGAACAATTCATCGAGTTTCAACTACGAGAAACGATATTATCATCACTTTGATGCACATACTTGAACTTTCTGCTGTCGAATTTGAACCTCTAATTTCGTAATTCGAAATTCAGTGTACGAATTGCACTTCAATTATGTTGGAAACAGAAAAGGGGTTCATGTCGGTATATGTAAAGCGAAATACCAGATTCGTTATTGACGAGTTAGCATTTAAACGAGCGTTATTTAATACAAATTCTGTTGGTAGTAATTTTTGGCTCAAATTCTATCAAAATATAGAATGTGCTTACATATTATACAGAGTGAACCGTATAACGTAACCATCTCTGTTATTTTCGTTGCTAGTGGATCGATAAACATTTCTTTTGTCATAGATAATAAGATTTTGACGGATCTTCAAGTTGGTGACAGATTTCTTTTGTCTTTTTTCAAATAAGTTTTCAAGATCATCTTCAACTGTTTTTGTTAGATTTATAAAACAGATAAATATTAGGTCGTAGCATATGAAATGTCCGATTCTAGTGTATCAATATTTTAAACCTTATTTTCTCGGTAAATATTTGTCTTTGGAGATGTTTTAAAATGACAACTTCGAGAGTAAACTTTCTTTTGTCAGATTCAGTCTCTATTTCTTTTGTTTACGTTGGGCTGACACCCCCGTTTGGGACCGTCTCTCCCTCTCTGCCACCGCCCTACTCTGCGGACCACGGGGGACTGCACGAGGGCCTATGAGAGCGGCTCTAGGGGGTGAAAGGCCCATGATTTGCCGACAAGGTAAACTTTCCATTTTGGCGAAAAGAGATATATACAGCCACTTCACGACATTCGGGCAGATTCTAATATACTTAGAAACAATCGACACCACTTTGAGCGCTCTAACACGCAATACTCGTCATCTTGATACACCAGTGCGGTCCAGTCCGCAATAATCGACATCACAAATAAAGCGCGATCAC